GTTATACTCGCTGTTACGGCATGCCTGATTGGCTGAAAATGAGTATGCGCACTTGATTTACCCAGAACTCTGTGCGAATCCCCCTTGATTCTGGCTGCTGGCCATTTTCGGTCATGAAATTGTCGGATATCACCAGAAAACACGCGATTTGTGCAGTTTTGAATAAAACCTAGTTAGCGATTATGAACAATGGTTATTAACATAACACCTGACCCCCTCTGCACTTTTTGTTTCGCATTTTAAGGTAAGAAATCAACATTTGAAACCGACAGGGTATCGATTTACTAGGTGCCGTGTTTCACAACTTGTTTATTTATATACGTATAGCGGATGATTTTTTTTGAAAATTAGTATTTATTGATTTTCAGCCCCCAAGTGACTGTGGTTTCATGTCTTTTTTTTATGAATTGGTTTTACAACTAATTTTTCCTATGTGACAGGAATATTATTGGTGATTTTTAGCCTAATATGTAAACTGTGCATCAGAATCTGATTATATTCATTCCGTGCGGCAGATTCTTTATTTAATTTGCACTGGTGACCAACGTGTGCACCTCTCAAAAAGAAAGCCTAAGTACTGCGACATGTGAGCACAGCGTGACATAACTCACTGAACTTACCGTTGCTCCCCTCGTATTCTTCCTCCATGGCTGTTACTGGATAGCGCAGAGTTTATGAGGTGCTACAATACGATGAATCAATCGACCGACCGAAAACTCTGGGCGATTATCGCGACCAACTGCTCAAGCTTCACCTTCAAGTGATTACTTCTTCCGTAACAACAAAGCACCTCAACAAAATGGCGGCATTTCCTGGTTATAGCGCCCTCACGAATCATCGATGTCATTGGGAGAGGGCGTCATCATTTTGTGTTTGTGTGTTCAAATTTTCTTTACCAAAGCTTTTCTTAGTTCAACACAAATTATCTCTCATTACAAAACATTCATAAACAGAAATAAAATATAGTTTTCATCTGATTGGCTGGGGTTGCTGTTCTGTTCAAAACACTGTCTCGGACATTGAGATATTGTACTGTTTTGTT